TTGCAGTGAAGTCATTCCCACACCTGAGCAATCCATAAAGTTTCCATCAAAACAAACCCACCTGTTTTTCAGCCAGCTTTAATCTTTGCTCCCTTTTCTGTGCAAAAATCAGCTCACCCTGGCCTGGCATTGTTGGGCAGTAAATAGTTTGCATCTTTTCTGGTTTGCTGCACTTTGTGATTTGTTCAGCCACGTGTCTGTGGCTCTTTTGTGGAGGTGTCACTGCTCCTGTGAACTCCTGTGTGCAGGCACAGCAAAAGTGATGTGTGGGCACAGCACTGAATGGAGCCCAGCCCTGGCAGTGGGAGGTGCAGAGAAGGGGTTGTTGTTGTTGCTTTTTCTCTGGCAAATCTCTGTAAAACTGAATTTAAAGCCTTTGCTTTGGCTGTGGCTGTATGGGGTCAGTATTGTTTAACAGCTGATGGTTGTGCTGCCAGTCAGAGGGACTGGAAAAATGGGAAAACAGGGAGAAAATGGGAAAAATCTCATGAGAGAGCACAGGTTATGGAAATCCTGACCTGGATCACGCTGTTGTGGTGTGGAAGGAGGGATTTGTTGCCTGTTGTACCAGCAAATGTGTCCTAAAGACATAAAGCATCCTTTATATTCTGTAATCTTCCCCCAACCAAAAACCCCCTCACCTCTGTTCTGGTGAGGATTGTTTCTTTACAGGAAGAAGATTCATTTTGCTGCTGAAGGAAAAGTGAAGGGCAGAGGGTGCTGGGAAGGCAGGCCTGGGTTTGGCAGCTCCTGAGTCAATGTGTGCCGTGAGATTTGGCTGGGGCAGCTCCTTGCAGAGCTCATTAAGTGCTGCTCATCAGCCAGGGCTGGGATCTCAAAGTGCCTCTGCACTGGGGACGTGCTCAGCAGAGCTTTGCTGCAACCTCAGAGGCCACTAAAATGCGTTTTCCCAGTCACTTCTGATTATCTGCTCTTTTTCCATGGGGCAGCTTTGCCTTCGTGTTCTTAAGCCTCTTCATTTTATCGCATTTTCTGCCAAATTGTTTGACACAATTCCAGGGAGTCACTCGATGTTTGGTGTTTGCACACACCTCCTGCCAGGACAAGTCTCTTCCAACCCCATTTCACTGTCCCAGATGTTCCTGAGGATGTCACTTTTCCTAAGTGGGGTGTAAAATTCACATGAATAATAATATGAATGATGCCTTTTCTGTTAAGATCACCCCCAGCCTTGCATGGTGTGAGCAGTTACTGGAGAATGCCAAGCACATGATGAAAACACAGATTAACGACTCCGGGGCTATTCTTTTTGTGTTGTAGTGAGTCACTGTGCCTCGAGCAGGGAGAGCAATTACCTCTGACTCACAGAAGGAAGGAAGAGCCTGATTTTCTGCTCTGAATTCAGGTAACTCAGTCATATTGACAGCTGCATTTGAGCACTGTGTTAACCCAGTTCCAGTGTGTGTTACATCCATAGCAACTTCCTTTTTCCCCTGCTTTTCCCCAAGTCTGCAGCGTTGATGTTTTTGTGCCAGCAGTGACTCAAGGGGAGGTGTTGCAGTTGTCAGGCTGCTGTGGGCCTGCTACAGCCTGGAGAAAAGGTCACATCCCACACCTGCATTTTCTAAAGAAAGCTCTGTTGCTGGGCTCTCTTTAATAGAGCTTGGTTTATTTTCAGCCCCAAGTGGCCGTGGGGAGTTCAGGCTCAGAGCTGGAGGAACAAGGTGTTTACAGAGTTGTTTCCTCCAGCTTTGCATTTGACACTTGGATTCTTGGCTCCTCTTTTGCTGTTTCGTTTGATATTCCATGGAGCTGCTGAAATCCATTTTCTCCAGCAGGTGCTGTGAAAATTTCCCTGGATCAGTGCTGTGGAGTGAGACATCCACTGAGAATCTGGAGGCTGCTCAGCCTCAGTGGTGCCCTTTGCTGTTAGAGAGGAGCATTCCTCACCTGCAGCTCAGCCTGTAACCCTGAACTCTCTGCTTTTCAGCGCTCTGCACCCTGCTGCTTGAACCCTGCACAAATTCTTGCCAATCTATTCAGTCCTTGCTGGTGCTCTGGAAGTTTCACAGAATTTTTGTCCCTTCAGTTCCAAATTCAGGCTCTTGAATCAACCATTTAGAGATGTGCTGCTGTGAGGTCTGTGCAGCGTTGGCAGCTCTGTGCCACCATCCCAGGCCCTGCAGTGGGGCAGAAATGCTGCCCAGGGGATGATTTTCCTGGCTGAGCAGCTCGGGGAGGGCTGTGTGACGCTGGAGCAGGGGCTTGGCTCGGCTTTCCGCTCCCACAGCTTCCCGGGGCAGCGGGAGGCTGAGATAAAGGGCTCAGCGTGGTGGGGAAGGGAGGGCCCTGCTCCCTGCAGATCCCTCTGCTGATTGCAGAGCTGATCTCAGAGCTGTGGTGGGGGGCCCAGAGGAAGCTGCAGTCACTTCTCAGCAGGAAGGAAAATGACCACATGGCAGGGTGGTTAGAGCAGGGGGTAGGGGACAAAGGGAAAACGCTGTTTGGCACTCAGGGATTTGCCCTGGGGCAGGGGGGGTCTTACAAGCCACATTCAAATCATGCAGCTTTTCCCAGGGTGCTTGTCATGCCTCTTTTAATTAATATTTTTAACCCAGCACAGTGGTGTGGTTTATTGCAGCCCTGTAAATACTCGGGTCACTTGAAGGCTGTGCCTGGCCTTGATGCTCCTGTGGAGGGGCCTGGGTCAGATATTCTGGATCTGATATCCTTCCACTTGGATTTTTAGATGTTGGTACCGCAGGACTGCCGTGTTGTATGCAAACATGTTAATCCAAAATCCTCTTTGGGATTTTGGGAAGTGAGAGGGTCTTCATGGAGCAGGAAATAGGGGAGAATTAAGAGATTATCATGTATTTTTTTTATCATCACTCTCTGGTCTGGCCAGCCTTGTGGTATCAGTGTTTTCTTCAGCCTAATTGTGACTGTAAATGAATTCCCTGACAGCCTGTAACTGGAACAAAGCTGACATGTGAGGCACATCCCCGGTGGCTCCATGACAGGTGTCCCTGTCCCTGCTGTCCCACCGGATCCGCTGCCCTTGTGGAACACGGGAAAGCCAGGCCCAGGTGCTCTCACGTGGGAGGGACCTGCCAGGGGCTGCCCTGTGTTTGTCACAGCAGCCCCAGCACGTGGGGGACACAGGAACACAGCTGGGACCTTGGAAAAAAGGATGGAGATGGGTTTGTTTGCTTCCAGGCTGGCAAAACAGACCTTCCTGGATGTGCACTTCTCCCCCAGCTCAGGGCCAGCTGCTGGCGTTGTGTCCTGCCCTCGTGAGCCTCCTGTGCCCTGCAGTGACATCTGAAGGGACAAGTCCTGCTCCATAACCTGCTCAGGGTTGTTTTCCTGATGAGATTCCTGCTTGTGAGGAATGAAGAGCCCCGTTCCTTCAGGATCCTGGCTCAGAAGCAGCTGGGGCTGCATTAAGATCTGTGACAGGCAGTGGTGGAGCCAGGACAGGGAGCAAAGGCACCTCTCAGGGCACTGACATTTCTGTATCAGGACTTTCTGAGTGACTTTGGCCAAATCTTTTGATTCTGTTGGATTCTCCTGTGAAAGGGCCCCCTGAGGCTATTCCTGAGTGCTGGCCCAGGGCTGGGCAGCTCAGTAGTGCCAGGATCACGTGGCTGCTGTAAAACACATGGGCACGACATTCCATGAGACATTCCACGATCCAGCACAGCTCAGTGCTCAACTCCTTCCTTCCCAAACATTTCTGTTGCTTTTGCTACCTGCTCCCTGCAATTTGAAACCAAATTTCCTGCCCTTTCATCCTCTGCTTTTTTGATCTCAGCCTCGCTGGTGGGGGTTTTATCTATTTCTGTTTTCTTGTCTCAGGCAGCTTTTGTCCCCACACTTCCACTTCCTGAGCCTGCAGCTGGGCAGCAGTGAGGTCACATTGGGGTGCACGTTGTTTTTGGGGAGGTGAGGGAAGAATGGAGGCTCCATCCCGGGGGAGGGATGGGTTTTCCGAGTCAGGAAGGAAAGATGAAGGTGGAAGTAGAGCCTTGCAGCCGGGTTTGTGTGGACAAAGGAGAATGGAGGCAGGGTTTGGAGCTCTAGTCCCAGCTGGAAATTGGAAGTTGGCTGTGGCTGGAGCCGAGATGTGTCTCTGGATGTCTCAAGTTTTCCATGAGGTTTCTTTGCTGGTAGAGGTCCTGAGAATGAGTGAAATGACCCCAAAGGCTCCTCATCCCTTGAAATCCCAGAATCCCAAGATGGTTTGGGTTGGGAAGGGACTTGAAACTCGTCTATTCCACCCCTACCATGGGCAGGGACACCTTCCAGTGCTGCTCCCAGCCCTGTCCAGCCTGGCCTTGGGCACTTCCAGGGATCCAGGGGCAGCCACAGCTTCTCTGGGCACCTGTGCCAGGGCCTGCCCACCCTCCCAGGGAGGAATTTCTTCCCAATATCCCATCCAGCCCTGCCCTCTGCCAGTTTAAAGCCGTTGCCCCTTGTCCTGGCACTCCCTTATCAGTGCTGCTTTCTCTAATCTCTCTCTCTAATCTCATCTCTCCAGTTCTACTCCACATGTTCCAGTCATCCTCTTCTCCAAAAGCACCAAATCTCCCAGGAAAACACCTCGCTGTGCCCAGCTCCTGGTGGGAGCAGGCAGAACTGAAGCAGCAGAGCCCACAGCACTGGCCACAATGGATCCCTGCCCACAGCTGCTTGGGTTTCCTTAAGGGATGAAGTCAGCAGCTCCAGGCACGCCTGAGTCCTGTATCCATGTGGGAATGGGGCTCCCGTGCTGCCCTCCCCTTTCCCCCCCACATTCCCGTGTCCCAGCCACCCTTATTGGCCCAGAACGTGTCTCCAAGGCGTGGAGCTGGGCTCACATCATCACCCTGAGTAATAACTCGCTGCTGACTGTTTCCTGGGAGGAAAGGAAAGGCAGGAAGGAAAAACAACTGCTCAAAATTTCCACTCATGACAAGAAAAAAAAAAAAAAAGCATAAATAAAAGGAAAGCGTGAATCAGAGGAGCTGGTTCATTCAGGAACACGGAATTCTACAGAGCAACCAGGAGCTGACCTCTGGAGCAGGAGTTTTTTGTGCTCTTTATTTATTTGCTGTGGGACAGTTTGGCATGAACTGAGGTAGGGTACGTGACAATATTCGTGACCTTTTGTTCCGAGCCTGGCAGGGGCCTGAGATCCAGTGGGTACCGCTGAGCACATTGGTGCTCCTTCCCTGGATCCAGCCGAGTTTCCCTGGATCTGGGGGTCTGTGGGAGCACCCCTGGGAACCCCCTGGGAGGGGGGAACAGCCAGGTTTCCCCAGAGAGGGATCCCTGCACGGCCCAGGTGAGAGCAGGTAAAGCCATAGGGGGATGGATGATGGATGGATGGATGGATGGATGATGGATGGATGATGGATGGATGATGGATGGATGGATGATGGATGGATGGATGGATGGATGATGGATGGATGGATGGATGATGGATGGATGGATGATGGATGGATGATGGATGGATGATGGATGGATGGATGATGGATGATGGATGGATGGATGGATGGATGGATGGAATCCATGGATGGATGGAATCAACAGACGGAGGGATGGATGGCAGGATGGACGGACAGAGGGACGGATGGACAAGATGGATGGATGAACGGACAGATGGATGGATGGCACGATGGACAGATGGAGGGATGGACGGATGGATGGACGCATGGACGGCAGGATGGACAGACAGAGGGATGGACAGACAGACTGATCGCTCCCGCCCGGTGCCGGCTCAGCCGCACGTGACCTCAGGCCCCGCCCCCCGCGCCGCCAAAGGGGCGTGGCCTCCCTGTTCAGGGGGCTCGCTCCGCGCCGGGGGGCGGGGCCAGACGTGACGCCACGCGCGCCGGACCAATGGGAGCGCGGCGCGGCGGGGCAGGCGCGGCCGCCATTGGCCGGCGGTGATGTCAGGGCGGCGCGGGGCGGGGCCCGGCGGGGCAGAGCGCGGGGCGGCGGAGCAGCCGCGGGCGCGCAGCGGGCGCGGAGCGAGCGGCACCGGGCGGTACCGGCACCGCGGGGACACCGCGGGGACACCGCGGGGACACGGCAGCGGCACCGCGGGGACACCGCGGGGACACGGCAGCGGCACCGCGGGGACACGGCCGCTCGGAGCGGGTCCGGCTCCGCTCCGCACATCCCCGCGGGGAGATCCGCTCTGGAGGTGGCGGCTCGCGGGGCTCTGCGGGCGCTGCGGCAGCTCCGGCGCTGCGGCAGCGGGAGGCGGGAGGAGCCCCGGCCGCGGGGATCGTCCTGCGGGTCCGAGCCGGGTGTCCCTTGCAGAGGGCGGCTCTGCCCCCGCATCCCCCGGCCCAGCCCCTGAGGGTGCCCGGGCTTGCGGGAGAGCAGCCGAGGGGCGGCCGGGCGAAGGTTGGAGGAAACGGATCGAGCCGCCGCCGCGGGACCCCGGGGAATATCGGCTTTCCTCCCATGTGTTTCAGGTGAAAGACGAGTTCTTGGATAACCACGTTAAATCCCAGGCTCTCCAAATGCCAGCCCCCACCCGGCAGCCTGCCCAGCCCCGTGAGTAACCTTCACCGGGGACCTGCTGTTGCTCTGAGCGAGAGCTGTGCTCGCCTCGTGCTGCTGGGTGAGAAATCCTTCTGGGGGAGGAGGAGGAGGACGGCGGTGACACTCGAAGCCTGCTGGAATCGCTGGCTGTTGTGGCAGAAAGCCGGCAGGAGCCTCCAGACTGGAATTCTGCAGGGGGACAGTGCCACCGGAGGAAGTGGCAAAGCCCTGGTAGCAAGAAGAGCCTGAGTGGGATCATCTCTAAAAGCCAGTCCTTTCCTCTGGTGTTCCTTTAAGCTTCTGCGTCCTTCACTTCATCTGGTTTTCCCTCTGCCCCGTCACATCTGCTGGGAAGAAAAACTGGGAAAAGATGCGCTAAGGCATCCCACATCAAGGGAGGAAAGCTTGGCTCGGTGGCTGCTGGGGCACACAGCGCTGGAGAGGAGCAGAGCCGCAGGGAGCTGCTGCCATTCCCAGCTCCTGCCGTGTCCCCTGCCCTGCTCGGTGTCCCCTGGGCGCTGCTTGATGGGGATCTCTGCTGCAGGAGCAGGCTCTGCACTCCGGGCCGGGCGAGCAGGGCTGGCACAGCTCACCCCTAGATGCTGGAAAGGCCGTGTGGATAAGCTGCTGGCAGAAGATCCCTTCTGGAGCAGCTGCTGGCTGTAGGCCCACCGAGCCAAGGGTCAGGAGAGCCTGTCCTGCAGCATGACTTCCAAGCTGGAGCAGAAGGAGACCCCCCAGGCCAACGGGGCCGCGCTGCCCGGTGTGCCCGGGGACAGCCTGGCCAGCCCGGAGCGCGCCCAGCGCCCGCAGCCCTCGGATTTCCTGGGGCCCGATGGCTCCGCTGTGGAAGTGGTGGTGCTGGAGTCCCGTGCCAACGCCAAAGGGGTGAGGGAGGAGGATGCCCTGCTGGAAAACGGCAGCCAGAGCAATGAGAGCGATGACACCAGCACGGACCGGGGTCCTGAGCCCGCCTCGCCCCTCAAGGAAACCTCGTTTTCCATCGGGCTGCAGGTCCTCTTCCCCTTCCTGCTGGCAGGTTTTGGCACGGTCGCTGCTGGAATGGTGCTGGACATTGTGCAGGTAGGATTGGTGCTCCCCTGGCGCTGGGCTCTGGGGCCTGGAATAGTGGAATGCCAAGGTTTGGCAGCAGGGAGGGGAGGAAAACCAGATCCCGGCGTGCTGGGGACATGGGGAGCCCCCCACAGCCTCATCCCGACCCTGGCTCTGTAAATGAAGCTCAGTTAATTGCAGGAGATGGGAGGGAAGCGTGGAATGAAGGAAGGAGAAGGCACCGTGGCTTGGAGCAGAAGGTGCAGCTGAAGCTGGGAACTGAGAGCACTCTGTGCATCACAGCTGGAGATAAATCCCTTCCCTGCTGCTGCCTGCTGACACCCCAGCCCCAGCTCGGTGTCCCTTCCCCAGCTGGGTGCTCGCTGTGCTGTTCCAGGCTCGTGCCAGCCAGGGTAATGTTTGTCTCGGTGTCTGCCAGACCGTGTGGCTCATTCCAGAGCTTCCTGCACCGCTTCCTTGTGCTCTGGAGGCCTCCAGGGCTGACAGGGCGGATGGATTGTCCCTCCTGAGAGGGCTGTGGAGGTGACTTTTAGGAAAAGCCAGCAGGGAGCTGGCAGTTGGCTCTGGATGAAAACCAAGGTGTTCCCCGTGGCAGGTGACGCCGTGGGAACGTGCCAGCCTGGTTGTGTTTCCATGTGGGAATGCTGCCTTTGCAAACTGAGGCTCCTGTGCTGTCTCCACCACGTTTCCCAAGCGTGCCTGGCAGCAGATCAGCTCCTCCTTTGCCCTGAACGCCGGGCTGGGCAGAACCTCCCGTCCCTGGGGCACAAAACTGGGCTCATCCCTTGCTTTGTGGCACTCCTGGGATGAGCACGGAGCTGTGGGCAGCCAGAAATGCTCTGGAGCTGCTGGGCTGAGGCAAACAAACCCTGCTGCTGTGGGCAGAGAGGGGCTGCAGTGCCTGCCCCGTGTGCTGCTGGCAGCTGGGATCAGCCCGGAGCTGGGAAGCCAGAGGGGTTTTTTTGGGGTTTGTGGGTGGTCAGGCAGACACTCCTCGTGCTGTCCTGCCCACAGCAGCGATTTCCCTGCGTGCCTTTGCGCTCTGGTCATCCCTGTGGCCTCTCTTGGTGGAACCTGCCGGGAGAGCTGGGAAGTGACTCCAAACAGGAAAGGCTGGACGGGGTAAATTAATCCGGGAGAGATTTACTGGAATCGTTTTCTGAAAAATAAGGACATTTCAAGCATGTTTTCCCTTCATGAGGTCCCTGCAAGCTCGTGCCTGGCTCTTCTGGAAGTTCTCCAAAGTGATTTGAACCCAACCTAAAGTTTTTCCTGGAGCAGGCACAGCCCTTGTGGCCAGGCAGGGCTGGGAGAAAGTGGCTCAGCCTTGTGTTCCCCTGCCTTGATTTTTATGGCCTTTAGGAATAAAACTTTGTAATTCCTGTGTCCCACAGCAGCTCAGCGTGTGGCTGTGCTGCCAACAGCTCCAACTCCCGTTAGCCTTGGGATTAATGAGCCATGGAAATGCCACAGGGTGGGGAATTCTTCCAGAACCTCCAGCAGACCCAGGTCCAGTTCACCCCTCCAGTGCCGCATGGGAAGCACTGGGATCCTGGGCAGATCCTGTGCAGATCCTGTCTGCTGTGTTTGCCTCCCTAAAAACAGCTTATTTCCGTATTTCTGTGCTTCTCAGAGGGGCTGTTACAGGGATTTTAACAGCTCCATGTCCTGAACCAAAATTATTATTTCCTCTTCTCTTTCCTTTTTTTTTTTTTGGCCTTTTTTTAGTCTGGGTTTTATGTTGATTTTTCCCCCAGCAGCCTGGCTGTGGTTGTCCTCGTGGAGCCACTGTGGGCACTCCTCTGCACAGGGAGCTTTGTTCCCTGCAGGAGCCACCACAGCCTTGGAGCCCCACAGACTCCCAGTGTTGTATAACATTTTATATTAAGAAAGCTGGCAGGAGCCCACGGGTCCTGCTCTTTGCAGCTGCTGAGCTCTGCAGAAATCTCCTTGTTTTCCCTCCCCAAAGATGGCTTTTCTTCCTTTCCCCAGGAGCAGCCCTGTCCTGCTCAGGAGCTGCTGCAGCTCCAGCCTGCAGAGGAGCCTCTCCTAAAGCTTCATTTACAAAGCCAGGCTTGGCACAAGGTGATGGAGAGCTTGAGCTGCTGCCTGATCCTGCCCCTGTGAGCTCTGGAAGCTCTGGAGCCAGGAGAGTTGTGCACAGCCAATAATGACAATTGTTGGGTGGCTCTGGTGACACCCAGCTCGTCCTGGGGGCAGTGGCAGCGTGGTGCTCGCTGCTGGAGCCCTGGCTCCTGCCAAGGGGAGCTGGAGTGAGGGATTGACCCGCTGCAAACGCAGCAAAACCACCCCAGAGTCTCCTAAAAATAGACTGGGAGAGCTGAGCTCAGCTGCTCCTGGAGGTGCCTTAAAGGAGGCACAGCCTGAGCTGGGTGAGGAATTGCAGGTTCTTCTCTCAGCAGTGAGCACTGAGCTCAAATCACACAGAATCCCAGAATTTAGGCTGGAAAATCCTTCCAGGATTGTCGAGTCCGAGCTGTGCCCCATCCCCACCTTGTCCCAGCCCAGAGTGCCACGTCCTGGGGCACCTGCAGGGATGGGGACCCCAAATATCCCTGGGTAACCTCAGGAGCCTCATCCTGCAGAGAGACGGTTGTGAAATAGCTGAGAGACCTTACCTGTGTCCCTGAGAGTCAGCTGGGCAGAAAATCCCAGAGGGTTTGGGTTGGAGGGACCTTGAATCTCATCCCCTGCCATGGCAGAGGCACCTTTCCCCAAGCCAGGGTGCTCCAAGCTCAGTCCAGCCTGGCCTTGGGCACTCCCAGGGATGGGGAGTCCAAAACCTCTCAGGGAAACCTGTGCCAGGGCCTCCCCATCCTCACCTTGCCCTCACCAAGCTGTCAGAAACATCAAGGGGTTTTTATGGCTGGAAAACACCTTTTCCCTCTGAGGAAAAAACCATCCCAGTCCATCCAGCTCGAGTTTGCCTCCCCCTTTTTTTTTGTTTGTTTGTTTGTCTCCAATGATTTTTCAAGAGCATCTCAAATTTGGTCTTGCAAAGCGCCAGGAAACTGCAGCTTGTTGGCTCAGAGGTGAAGGGTGGAAAAACAAACACAAAATAATCCAAGTCCTTCCTGGCAGGAAGCTGTTAGGCAGGCAGGTAGATTGATATTTACTGATTGATATTTACTGTTTTCCTTGTCCTGGAGAGAAATCCGTGTCCCTGGTGAGCCTGGCAGGGTGGCAGGGCCAAGGGCAGCTCTGTCAGGGCTGGAGCCTCGCCCAGGTGACATTTGCAGGTGACATTTGCAGGCAGAATCTGCAGAGTGACGTCCAGCACGTCCCCAGCTGGGATTCCTGTGCTCTCACTGCCCTGCAGGGTGGGAAACGGGAGAGGTTTTGGGCACTGGCCATAAAAGTGAGGTTTGGGTAGCTCACAGGGGTGATTTTAAATGTGGCTCTGAGGGTTCTGGAGTGGTTTTGTGTTTTCAGCTGCTTACCCTGCAATTTCTCTTTGTTTTTTTCCTAAATAACCGTGGCCGCCTTTGTCCCTCACCCCAGGGCAGCTGGAGGGGCAGAGGAGTTAGGAAATGCCTGAGTTAACACAGGTAGCAGGGAAAGGAGGCCTCAGTGGGCTGGGTTTTGGATCAAAAAATAAATATATGTATTTATATTTGCAAGACACACACATAGGAAGGGCTCTGAGCCGAGACTGACCAAACTTCTGCACTCAAATCTGCCAAAAAACTGCAAGTATTGGGCAAAGCCTCTCCATCTTTCCCTGATTTGGCCTCTGGGTGTGTAAACATTTTGTCACTGGTGACTCTTTGGGGGATTTTTGCACTGAAAGTTGCTGGCTCAGAGGGGTTTTTTCAGCCCAGCAGGATCATGTGGTCACTGCTACAAATGTCAGGAGTGGGAAAAGCCCTGCAGAATCCCAGGTGTGGCAGCAGGGAGGGCACTGGGTGCCAGCTCAGGTGGCAGAGGTGACGATGAGCGGGTGACACTGAGCCCAGAGCAAAGCTTGGTGTCAACCACGGTTGCATTTAATGGTTTTATTTAATTTTGCAGCACTGGGACGTCTTCAAATACGTGACTGAGGTGTTTATCTTGGTTCCTGCTTTGCTGGGCCTGAAGGGGAACCTGGAGATGACCCTGGCATCCCGCCTGTCCACAGCTGTGAGTGCCCAGGGAGCAGAGGAGGGAGTGGGATACCTGATTTGGGAGGGGTTCCTGGTGTGGGCAGCTGGAATTCCCAAAATTCCCTGTGGGAACGACAGCAGGCAGCAGAGCCTGGGGTTCAGCTGGGGAGGTGTTTTCACCCCGCTGGGCTGATGGGATTTGAAGGATTAATGCTCCTTAAGCTTTGCTGACAGCTCACTTCCTCCTGCTGGCTGCTGGGGGCTCAGGCTGGGAGCTGGCTGGGATCCAGCTTTTCCACCAGGAACTGGGTGCAGGAATGTCACCAGAGCAGGCTGGCAGGAGCCAGGGGAGGAGGGGGCCTGGGGACAGCTGTGAAACAGAGGGGAAAGTGGAGAGAGCTCACAGGAGGACTGACAGGCTCTCCAAGGGATGGAGATCACAGCTGGGCGTTTGTCCGGCTGGAATTCACTCTGGTCCCTGTTCCCTGAGCATCCCTGAACATCCCTGAGCATCCCTGAGCATCCCTGAATATCCCTGAGCATCCCTGAGCATGTCTGAGCATCCCTGAACATCCCTGAGCGTCCCTGAGCATCCCTGAGCGTCCCTGAGCATCCCTGAACATCCCTGAGCATCCCTGAGCATCCCTGAATATCCCTGAGCATCCCTGAGCATCCCTGAGCATCCCTGAACATCCCTGAGCATCCCTGAATATCCCTGAACATCCCTGAGCATCCCTGAGCGTCCCTGAGCGTCCCTGAGCATCTCTGAGCCCCAGGGCAGGCTCTGGCAGCTCCTCAGAGCCCTGTGTGAGCCCATGAATTGCTCTGTGTTCTCTCCTGGTGCTGAGCAGGGCTGCAGAGGGACCCAAACCCTCTCCTGGCAGGGACAAGGATGGGGACAAGGACACTCCCTCCCTCTGTAAAGCATCTCTGATGTCCCTGTGTCCCCATGCTGGGAGCTTGGGATCTTCCCCCTGTAAGGTGTTCTCTGCCTGCTGCCAGCTCCCCTGGGATGGGAATTCCCGAGGGAAGCCCTGGCAGGAGGCAGCCTGGTCCTGGCCCTGGCAGTGCCGAGGTTCCTCGGCCCGAGGAGCTGCTTGGGAAGCTCTCACTGAGGTGGAGGGATGGAGAACAAATTCAGCTTGGCTCATTCCCTTCCTCCCAGCCCTGTCTTTGAAGGAGAAGGCACAGCAGAGCTGCACAGGTTCCTCCCTGGATCCTCTCCTGTCCTGTGGAGATGGGTGCTGTGGCTCCTGTGCCCAGGCTCTGTGGGACAGCCTGAGGGACAGAGCCTGAGCTTTGTTTGCCCCCTGGCTCTGGGAAACAAATCCCTTTGTTTGAGTCCCTCTCCATTGTTGGGACCAGGACAGGATCCTTGCTGTCCCAGCCTCTCCTCCCGGCCGGCCTGGGCTGCTCAGGGGGACAAAGGCAGCGTTGGCACTTGTGTGTCCCCTCCTGGGGCTGGCAGGAGCAGCTTCGGGGCAGCTTTGGCAGGGGAAGGAGGCTGGGCAAAGTCAGGAATGCAGAACTTTGCCCAGTCTGTGGCTGCAGGAGGGTCACAGGGACAGCAGCTCTGATCCTGGTGCTGCCCTGGGCTGGCTCCAGCCAGGCTTTGGCCTCTCCCTCCTGTGCCTCCTTAAAACCACGGGATCATTAAGGCTGCAGAACATCTCCAGGATCACCCAGGAGCCTCCCTGTGCTGCTGGGACAGGAGGATCTCTGCTCCCAGGCCTGTGTAGGGAGCTCCCCGGGGTGGATCCCGAGCTCTCTCCACAGGGAAGCAGCCTGGAGTGCTTTCTCAGACTTTGGGTTTCTAATTAGTGCTGCTTTAAGGCACCTCAGAAATTCCTTTCACAATTAAGAGGCAAAACTCCCCCATTAGTTAAAGGATTAAAACCCAGTTGCCCGTGACTACAGCGAGGTTATGTTAATCCCAGCCTAATTGCCATGTGGCTGGAATTTTAAGGTCAGGCTTCATATGGAGCTCAAATTCCTGTGCTGGATGTGCTGCTCCTGTCAGTTTTTTGTTTTCCCTCCTCTCTGCCCAGAATGATTTGCCCCAGAGATGGGGGAATCTCAGTAAAACGAGCTGGCAGCTCTCAAGCACATCCAGCAAGGAGAGCAGGGGGATTAATTAATCAATGATTTCTGTCTTTCTTGTTTTCTTTTCCACCTGGGAGGAGGAAATCGCTGCTGTGCTGTTGTGCCCGAGTTTGGTGCTGTCAGGCAGCACCTCCAATGTGCAATTCCAGTGTTTGAGCCTCTCCCTTGTTTCCTGAACTCATCAGCTTCTAATGATGCAAATTGGATATAAACCTACCCATTCTTCCTATAAACACCCTGGAGGTGGCAGGGGGGAGCAGAGCTCGAACCCTGCAGCGATTCCTCCGGGTTATTTCGCAGGGTGCCCCAGGAATTAAAGCGATTTCCATCTCCTGCTTGCCCCGTGCCAGGGCTGCGTGTTTGCTCAGCTTCCAGCAGGAGCAGCAGGGTTTGCTGCCAGCTCTGCCCCACGTGCTGCTGCCCCCAGGCTCTGCAGCCTGGCCTGAGGGGCAGTTTGACCCTCTGGGCTCCAGCCAGGCGTGGCTGGGTCAGCGTGGAGCGAGGGAAATGCAGCGTGTGACCGCGGGGAGATCGCTGCTCTCGCCGCTTCCCCGCCGGATTTTTGGTGGATGTCGATCCCCCTCCACTCTCCCTTTTCTGCTGAGTTATTCTCCTGTAGGAGCTGAGGGTTTGAGGTGCTCTCCTGCTCCTGGCACGCAGGAATTTGGCTGTCAGCGGGTGGGAAGGGCTGTCAGGCTTTAATTTGTCTCGTTTGCTCTTACAGGCTAATATTGGCCAAATGGATACACCCAAAGAGCTCTGGAAGATGATTACAGGGAACATGGCTCTGATACAGGTAAGGAGAGAGGGAAGGGGAATATTTATACCCAATTTTGGCAAGTGTGGCAGGTTTAAATGCCCGGGTTTTGCTGGTTGCTGTCAATATTGTGTGTCTGAAGGGAGGCAAGTGGTGCCTTTGTGGCCCTGCAGGTTGGACTGGGTGTTTCCATGCTGGATTCTGATCCCCCTGGGTGGGGTTTCCCTCTTAGAATCATGGAATAAAATCATGGAATGGTTTGGCTTGGCAGGGCCCTTAAAGCTCATCCATTTCCCATGGGCAGGGACACCTTCCCCTATCCCAGGGATGAGGCAGCCACAGCTTGGCTTGGCTCTCCCCACACTTGGTGCTGTTTTGGTGTCTTGGTGACGCTCTGCTTTCCATTCCCAGGTCCAGGCCACCGTGGTTGGCTTCCTGGCCTCGATTGCAGCCGTGGTGTTTGGGTGGATCCCAGACGGGCACTTCAGCCTGGCCCACGCTGTCCTGCTGTGTGCCAGCAGCGTGGCCACTGCCTTCATTGCTTCCCTCGTCCTGGGTGAGAGTCACCCCCTCTGGCCACCTCCTCCTGAAATATCAGCCTCCCCTCGGCCTTATCCCGGATTTTCTCCCTCTTTCTGGCTGCAGGCATGATTATGATTGGGGTGATCATCGGCTCCAGGAAGATGGGGATCAATCCTGACAACGTGGCCACGCCGATCGCTGCCAGCCTGGGGGACCTCATCACGCTGGCCCTGCTGTCAGGGATCAGCTGGGGCTTGTACAAGGAGCTGGGTGAGGAGCAACAAAAGGCTTTTTGTGTGTCCCTCTGGTTTCAGCCCCTTCCTGTGCCCTGTCTCTTCCTGGGGTGTGTGGGGTTCCCGCTCTGGAGCTCCCTCAGCGAGGCCTAGCCCAGGTTAGGGGAGGGAATGGAGCCTCTCCCTGCCTTGTGCACCTCCTCCTCCTCCTCTCCAGTGCTCAGGGACAGGTTGGCCCCTTCCAGGTGCTTGGCTGGGGCTGGAGCAATGGGAGAAGGGAGATTTGGATTCCATCTGCTGAGCTGTCAGCTCCAGCTGGGGATCCTCAGGGCAGGGCTGCAGCTGGAGACTCCAAATTTCCTCCTCCTCCTCCTCCTCCTCCTTCCCTCCCCGGCACTCGGGGCTGTGACTCAGCCAGGTTCACCCAGGGGTGAAGGAAGCAGCACTGGGGAGATCCTGCCCAGGAGTGGGAGGTGGGGATGAGCAGCTGGAATTGAAGAGATTTCACTCAGATCTGCTGCTAAACAGATCCCAGTAAAACAGATCCCAGTAAAACAGATCCCAATGTTTCTGTAAAACAGATCCCAGTGTTGGGGTAAAAACAGATCCCAGTGTTTGGCTGTGTAAAACACATCCCAGTATTTGTGTAAAAACAGATCCCAGTAAAACAGGTCCCAGTAAAACAGGTCCCAGTAAAACAGATCCCAGTAAAACAGATCCCAGTAAAACAGATCCCAGTAAAACAGGTCCCAGTAAAACAGATCCCAGTAAAACAGATCCCAGTAAAACAGGTCCCAGTAAAACACGTCCCAGTAAAACACATCCCAGTAAAACAGGTCCCAGTAAAACACATCCCAGTAAAACAGGTCCCAGTAAAACAGGTCCCAGTAAAACAGGTCCCAGTAAAACACATCCCAGTAAAACAGGTCCCAGTAAAACAGATCCCAGTAAAACAGGTCCCAGTAAAACAGATCCCAGTGTTCACAGCTCACCCCTGTGACAAGGAGCCACCACGTCCTGCAGAGTCCAGGCTGGCCTGCATTTTCCCTGCCCTTCCTGGAGCTCCTGAGGGGCCTGGCCTTGATTTCTCTGCTTCTTCCTCCTCCTCCTCCCCGCCCTGCCCAGAGAGCAGAGCCTACGTGAACCCCTTGGTGTGCGCCTTCTTCATCTCCCTGCTGCCCATCTGGATCATCATTGCCAAGAGGAATTCCGCCACGCGGGAGGTGCTGTACTCGGGCTGGGAGCCCGTCATCATCGCCATGGCCATCAGCAGGTGGGCCTGGCCCTGTCCCCTGGCCCTGTCCCTGATTCTGTCCCTGATTCTGTCCCTGATCCTGTTCCTGTCCCTGTCCCTGATCCTGTTCCTGGCCCTGTCCCCTGGCCCTGGCCCTGGCCCTGGCCCTGTCCCCTGTCCCTGTCCCTCTCCCTGATTCTGTCCCTGTCCCTGATCCTGTCCCTGATTCTGATCCTGTCCCCTGTCCCTGTCCCTGTTCCTGTCCCTGTCCCCTGTCCCTGTCCCTGTCCCCGTCCCTGTCCCTGATCCTGTTCCTGCCCCTGTCCCTGATCCTGTCCCTGATTCTGATCCTGTCCCCTGTCCCTGTCCCTGGCCCCTGTCCCTGTCCCTGGCCCCTGTCCCTGTCCCTGGCCCCTGTCCCTGTCCCTGGCCCCTGTCCCTGTCCCTGGCCCCTGTCCCTGTCCCTGGCCCCTGTCCCTGTCCCTGGCCCCTGTCCCTGTCCCTGGCCCCTGTCCCTGTCCCTGTCCCCTGTTCCTGTCCCTGATCCTGTCTCTGTCCCTGTCCTGTCCCTGATCCTGTCCCTGTCCCTGATCCTGTCCCTGTCTCTGTCCCTGTCCCTGCTGGGTTTATTCCAGCCCTGACCCCCCTGTGTCCCCCTGCAGTGTCGGGGGGCTGATCCTGGACCGGACGGTGTCGGATCCCAACTTTGCTGGGATGGCCGTGTTCACTCCCGTCATCAACGGTGAGTCCTGCCCCAGCCCGGCCTGCAGCTCCTGCCAAAGTGCAACTGCAAAATCCTCTTTTGGGGTGCCACAGGTGGCGTTCAGGTGAAAGGCCTGGGAGGCTATTCCCTAAAAAAACCACATTTCTGGGGACTTCTTCATTTCCTTCTTCCTCCTTTCTGGTGGAACATCCCCATCTTCCAAAATACTTGCCTTGTGGCAACACAAAGATTTGTACTTCTGCCTTGGAGTCAGGAAATCTGACTGGTTCTGGTGTAAAGTTTTCACCTTATTTCTGCCTGATGAACCAGGAAAACTCATTTTTTAATTGCTTTTTGCAATAGGTGAAGTTAACTCTGAGCCAGTGCATCTCGTGCTGGTGGCTTTCACAGCTTCCTGTGAAAAAGAATCGTTTTCAACTTCCTGTGTCTGTTTTGGTGCCCAAGTCATTGCTTTTGTTTCACTTATTTCTTCCACCCTGAGCTGCAGTAACAGAACTGCTTCAGCTTTACTCGGGGAAAGCTTTGCCCCAGCTCCTCACATCCTGTAAAAGTCGATTTGGGATCAAAAATAAGAACATCCTACATAATCCCAGGTGCTTCCAGTTCTGCTGGAACTTTTCAGTTTCAGGAGCTGAGGGGAGCTCCTGGAAGCGTCTGGGACATGCCCTGAGTGCTGTTTGTGCCCTGAGTGCTGTTTGTGCCCTGAGTGCTGTTTGTGTCCTGAGTGCTGTTTGTGCCCTGAGTGCTGTTTGTGTCCTGAGTGCTGTTTGTGCCCTGAGTGCTGTTTGTGCCCTGAGTGCTGTTTGTGTCCTGAGTGAGTGCTGTTTGTGTCCTGAGTGCTGTTTGTGTCCTGAGTGCTGTTTGTGTCCTGAGTGAGTGCTGTTTGTGCCCTGAGTGCTGTTTGTGTCCTGAGTGAGTGCTGTTTGTGTCCTGAGTGCTGTTTGTGCCCTGCAGGTGTTGGTGGCAACCTGGTGGCAGTGCAGGCCAGCCGCATCTCCACCTACCTGCACATGAGCGGGGAGCCCGGAGACAGCCCCGGGACGGCCCCTCGGAGGTGCCCCAGCCCCTGCAGCACCTTCTTCAGCCCAGGTAGAGCCCTGGGGTGCAGGGTTTGGTGCCTGGCACAGCACAGGGGGCTCAGGGTGGCTCTGGCGTGGGGCTTCTGCTTCCCTGCGCTCTGCAGATGGCTCGGGCTCTGCTGGCTGGGGAAATGTGCGTGTGGAATGTTCTGGATCATCCAGTGCGGCTCCAGGCCCTGCTCAGACACCCCAAAATCCCTGCCAGCACGCAGGTTTGGGTGGTGGGATCACGGGATGGGACATCTCATGGGCAGGGATGCCTTCCACGAGCCCCAGGCTGCTCCCAAGCTCTGCCCAACCTGCCCTTGGACACTTGCAGGGTGTAAATGTGGGGAAATGTGGGTGTGGAATGTTCTGGATCATCCAGTGCAGCTCCAGGCCCTGCTCAGACACCTCAAAATCCCTGCCAGCACGCAGGTTTGGGTGGTGGGATCACGGGATGGGTCGGGTGGGAAGGGACACCCTCCACGAGCCCCAGGCTGCTCCCAAGCTCTGCCCAACCTGTCCTTGGACACTTGCAGGGTGTAAACGTGGTCTGATGTTCCCTTTGCAGATGTGAATTCCCGCTCTGCCCGCGTGCTCTTCCTCCTGGTGGTGCCAGGACACCTGGTTTTCCTCTACACCATCCACTCCATGCAGGGGGGACACACCACGCTCACCCTCATCTTCATCGTCTTCTACATGACTGCAGCACTGCTCCAGGTGAGCTGGGGCTGGCTCTGGGGACAGGGGTGTCACCTGCACTGGGGACCTGCTCAGGTGGCAGAGCCCATCCCTGCCCAGGACATTCTGGGATCCAGGGGGATCCCAGCTGGAATTCAGTAACTCCTCCCTGGACGCACCATTTCTCCATCCTGCCACTCTTGCCGGTCTTTTGTCTCTTTTAAGTCCTTTTGGTAGCCAAAATGTTCCCCTCCCAGCCCGTCCTGGGGGGTGGTTTGGTGATTTGAAAAGGCCTGGGGGGGAAAAGAGGGTGTGGAATTTGCAGGGAATGTGCTGCCCTTTCCCCTGGAAATTTCCCGGGATGACTCTTGAGAGGGACACACAAAACCAAAACCCTGAGAGGATCCACTGCAGATTTTGTCTGTCTCTAAATACCAACGTGAGCCTCTCGCTGCACCGGAGCACATGGAGGAGAAAATCCCACTCTGGCAGTGCCAGCTGGGCTGAAAAGTTATTCCTTTAGAAAAGGTAGCTATTACTTTAGAAAAGTTAGTTATTCCTTTAGAAAAGTTAGTTATTCCTTTAGAAAAGTTAGCTATTACTTTAGAAAAGTTAGTTATTCCTTTAGAAAAGTTAGTTATTACTTTAGAAAAGTTAGTTATTCCTTTAGAAAAGCTGGTTATTCCTTTAGAAAAGTTAGTTATTACTTTAGAAAAGCTGGTTATTCCTTTAGGAAAGCTAGTTATTCTTTAGAAAAGGTAGTTATTAATTTAGAAAAGCTAGTTATTCCTTTAGAAAAGCTGGTTATTCCTTTAGAAAAGTTAGTTATTACTTTAGAAAAGTTAGCTATTACTTTAGAAAAGTTAGTTATTCCTTTAGAAAAGTTAGTTATTACTTTAGAAAAGTTAGTTATTACTTTAGAAAAGTTAGTTATTCCTTTAGAAAAGTTAGTTATTACTTTAGAAAAGTTAGTTATTCCTTTAGAAAAGTTAGTTATTACTTTAGAAAAGTTAGTTATTCCTTTAGAAAAGTTAGTTATTCCTTTAGAAAAGTTAGTTATTACTTTAGAAAAGCTGGTTATTCCTTTAGGAAAGCTAGTTATTCTTTAGAAAAGGTAGTTATTAATTTAGAAAAGCTAGTTATTCCTTTAGAAAAGCTGGTTATTCCTTTAGAAAAGTTAGTTATTACTTTAGAAAAGTTATTTCTTTAGGAAAGCTAGTTATTCTTTAGAAAAGGTAGTTATTAATTTAGAAAAGCTAGTTATTCCTTTAGAAAAGTTAGTTATTCCTTTAGAAAAGTTAGTTATTACTTTAGAAAAGTTATTTCTTTAGGAAAGCTAGTTATTCCTTTAGAAAAGTTAGTTATTCCTTTAGGAAAGTTAGTTATTCCTTTAGAAAAGTTAGTTATTCCTTTAGAAAAGTTAGTTATTCCTTTAGAAAAGTTAGTTATTACTTTAGAAAAGCTGGTTATTCCTTTAGGAAAGCTAGTTATTCTTTAGAAAAACAAGTTATTAATTTAGAAAAGCTAGTTATTCCTTTAGAAAAGCTAGTTATTCCTTTAGAAAAGTTAGTTATTCCTTTAGAAAAGTTAGTTATTCCTTTAGAAAAGTTAGTTATTACTTTAGAAAAGTTAGTTATTCCTTTAGAAAAGCTGGTTATTCCTTTAGGAAAGTTAGTTATTCCTTTAGAAAAGTTATTTCTTTAGGAAAGTTAGTTATTACTTTAGAAAAGTTATTTCTTTAGGAAAGCTAGTTATTCCTTTAGAAAATCTAGTTATTCCTTTAGAAAAGCTGGTTATTCCTTTAGAAAAGTTATTTCTTTAGAAAAGCTGGTTATTCCTTTAGGAAAGTTAGTTATGCCTTTAGAAAAGTTAATTATTCCTTTAGAAAATCTAGTTATTCCTTTAGAAAAGCTAGTTATTCCTTTAGAAAATCTATTTATTCCTTTACAAAAGTTATTTCTTTAGGAAAGCTACTTATTCCTTTAGAAAAGCTAGTTATTCTTTAGAAAAATTAGTTAATTTAGAAAAGCTAGTTATTCCTTTAGGAAAGCTGGTTATTCCTTTAGGAAAGTTAGTTATGCCTTTAGAAAAGTTAATTATTCCTTTAGAAAAGCTGGTTATTCCTTTAGAAAATCTAGTTATTCCTTTAGAAAAGCTAGTTATTCCTTTAGAAAATCTAGTTATTCCTTTAGGAAAGTAAGTTATGCCTTTAGAAAAGTTAATTATTCCTTTAGAAAAGCTAGTTACTCCTTTAAAAAAGTTATTTATTAATTTGGAAAAGTTATTCCTTTAGAAAATCTAGTTATTCCTTTAGAAAAGTTAGTTATTCCTTTAGAAAAGTTATTCTTTTAGAAGTTATTATTTAGAAAAGTCAGTTATTCCTTTAGGAAAGTTTTTCCTTTAGAAAACTTGTTTAAATTCCTCTGAAAAACCAAAAGTTTCTCTTTTATTTCTGGCAGCCGGGTGTTGCTGGCCCTGCCTGAGCAGTCCTCTGGTTAGAGCTGAAAATTCAGGTGCACAACTGAGACTTTGTGGTGGTGAGGCGCCAGTTTGAGCCCGAATTGGGTGGTGAGAGGAAGCTAAAGGAGGTCAGGCAGAGGCTGTGAAGGACACAGAGGATTTGGGGTGCTCAGGGATGCTCTCCATCTCCTCTTTGAGCTGCGCTGAGGGGATGCAGCCGCGTTTTTTGGGATGTGCAGAGCCGAGCTGGGGCTGCAGGGCTCAGCGGTTGTGGCTCTTCCCAGGTGCTGATCCTGCTCTACATCGCTGACTGGATGGTGCACTGGATGTGGGGCAGGCACCTGGATCCCGACAACTTCTCCATCCCCTACCTGACAGCTCTGGGGGACCTGATTGGGACGGGGCTCCTGGCCCTGAGCTTCCACGTGCTCTGGCTCATCGGTGACCGGGACTCCGATGTTGGGGATTAACTCTGCCCCTCCCTTCCCACAGCTCTCCTTCCATCTGCTGTTCCTTTGCTTCCTCCTCCTCCCACCCCCTCGAGACTTCATCTTTGATACTGGATTCTCATTATTTTCAATGGGAATTTTACGTGGTTTATATTTCGAGCCGAGTTTGTACAGAAAATCTATCTAGTTTTAGGGAGGACAAACAAACAAACAAACAAAAGTGTAACGAGACAATCACTAAGTGCAATTTTCCTGGCAGTTATGTCTGAACCAAGGTTCCAGTGAAGTTCCTGCTCGGTCAGATGATGCAGGGAGCCCCCCCTGCCCACCCCCTCGAGGTGAAGGGCTGCTTTTTTCGCTTCATAAGCGTTTTAAACCCTGCAGGTCGAGCTCAGGTTTGTTTTGCTGGCACCTTCCAGCCGGGTTCATGGCTGAGGGCAGGGGGTGCCCCTGCCTTGGCTCCCCGGAGCTCCAGCCTGGGCCCACATCCAAAAATGGGGAGTGTCTGCGAGGGGGGATGAGGAGGATGGCGAGGAAGGCTCCTGTGTTCACCCCAGGAATGTGGGTGAGCTGCTCTGAGAGCCCCAGACCCTGGCTGGGCTCTGCTGGCAGCTTTGGGCTCCCTTTCGCCGCCCACCCCAGGCTGCAGCGCCTGCTTCTGCCTCGGTGAGCCGAGTTCAGCTGCCCTGAGCTTCGCCCAGAGGGGCTGGCAGCTCTCCCCACCCATCATCTCCCCTTCCAGCTGCCAAAAATCCTCTGCAGCATCCGCTGGAGCCCTCCTGGACGCTGTCCCCTTGTGCTGCTCCTTTTTCATGGCTCTGCTCAGTGCAGCCGACTTTCCCAGAGGGGTGGATGGACAAACAGCTCCTGGATTTTGTGTCCAGGTTTCCTTTGGGTTGCTGAGTGCCAAAAGTGTACTGAATGAACTGGGTTGGGGGTTCTGAGCTGGGGAGGAGCATTTTGCTCTGTTAGGAAAGGATGTCCATGGGATCCAGGGGATTTCTCGCTCTGCGTAGGTGCCAGCTGGAAAACAGCTGGAAATGCAGGCACAGCTGGATCGCTGGAGCCCTGGCTCTTGGTGCAGCTCAGGAAACCTGGGATTGGGGTTCAGCCCTGGCTGAGTGCTGCCAGTGCAGGGTTCCTCCTCTGCTGCTTCCCCTCCTGCTTTTTGTGCTGTTCAGGTCAGGCCTGGCTGGAATTCCTTCTCTTCCCGTTAGGCCGTGCTGGGAGGGCAGCAAAAAACCAGAGGGAGTGCACCCAGATGGGCAATTCAAGACCAAAGTCAGTCCAGGCTCATTGTCCCAGCCCAGGATCTGGGTGCAGAGCTGGGCCTCGCTCCAGAGATGACGCTGTTGGAAAAGAGGGTCAGGATAAGGAGCTCTGGAAATCCACGGGAGCAGGTGGAGCCAAACCAGGGCTCTTGGAGTTGTGGAAACCATTCCCTGCTGCTGGGGGTGTGCAGGAGGCTGAGGTGGGCTCCAGGCTGCTCCTCAGCCCCTCAGAAGAGCAGGTGTTGTATTTTTGAGATGATTTCCCCTTTTTTTCCCCTTGCTAATCCAACATCAGGCTCGCTGCCCCTGCTCCTCGTTGCTCCGGTGTGGGAGCAGCTCTGCTCCTCCTCTCTCCACTCTGGTGACATTTCACAGATCTCCTTGGGCCAAAGCTGTGCTCAAAGTGGGAAACCCAACCACAAAACAAACCCTGTCCCTGCTGTGCTGAACTCTCAGCCCAGGGACTTCTGGAATATTTTCTGGAATATTCTCAGCTGCTCACCTGATTCCTCTGCCTGATGTTGAGGAATAAACGCAAGACTTTTTTCCATTAACACTTCAGCTTTTTCGGATATAGAGAGAAACTCTGCTGGCCTTTCCTGGTGTCACATCACCACTTAATCCCCCAGGAAAAGATTCCCTAGAGGAGGAATCTGCCTCTCCTGGTCAGGGGTGGTGGGGCTGGGGGGGTCTGTACATTAAATATGGTCAAAGGTGTGCTTGGGGAATGGTCAGGGAAGAATCTAATTTAAATCTGAGGAATATTGATGGAAAGAAAAAAACCCCACCTCTTCCCACTGGTTGCACTCCAATGCATGCCTACTCTACAGCTGCCTGCAGATCCTGGTTTACTCTTTTATTAAAGGAAAAAGACTGTCTTAATTATTTATAGTTCCTATAACTGACAGATGTCGACCTAATGGATAAATTATATTTGATTAAATAAAGATGACATTTATTTATGTGGACTGTGGTGGTTTTTTTCCTTCAGGTTGAAGGCCCCTCTCAGGTTTTGGAGCTTATTTGAGCTCAGGCTGAAGTTCTTTTGATAGGAGAGTTACGAAAATCAAATAAATTGCTGGGCACGAAGCAAACTGGGATTACTGTGAGTGCCAGGTGACCTCGGCCGTGGCCTTGGTCAGGTCCTGGCAGCTCCTGGGGGCTCCCAGCAGGAATCCAGGTGTTTGTTCTGGCCCTCCCTGGATGCAGAATCCAGGCCCTGCTGACACGTGGCCTCTGCCCGTCTCTGCTGACTTCATGGAACAAAAGGGTTCTGCGCCTCCTGGGATGCAGAAAAGGCCCTGGGTTTGCAGGAATTGGTGTTTCCCTGCAGGGCTGTGCTTCCAGCTCGCCCAGAGCAGGGTCTTGGTGCAGGATCCCAAAACAAATCCCAAAACAGATCCCCCCAGACTCTGCTGGCTTCACACCTTGGGGTGAATATTGGGGTGCTGGGGCACGGGAGGGGCCATATCCAGCTCTCCTTGGGGCTGGGGGGTTCTGTTGGAATTTCTTTGTTGGGAGAAGGAGCAGGAGGTGCAGGAGGACCTTGGAGAAGTCCCAGCAACAGGGGAGCCTTGTTTGAATGAAAATCGATTGGGAGAGGTGTTTGTGCAGGCTGTGGGGCTGGATCTGGGGCGCAGGCAGCATGGCCTGGGGTTTAGGGGTACAGGGGGTCAGGGGTTCAGGGGTACAGGGGG